GAAGTCTTGCTCTGTCTGCAGGTTGGAGTGCAGTGGCACAATCTCGGCTCACTGCAACCTCCGACTCCCTGGTTCAAGTGATTCTCCTGCCTCAGCCTCTGGAGTAGCTGAGATTACAGGTGTGCACCACCACTCCCAGCTCATTTTTTTGTATTTTTTAGTAGAGACAGGGTTTCGCTATGTTGGCCAGGATGGTTTCGATCTCCTGACCTTGTGATCTGCCCACCTCAGCCTCCCAAAGTGCTGGGATTACAGGTGTGAGCCACCATGCCCAGCCTCTTTTCTATGTTTAGGTATGTTTAGATACACAAATACTTACCACTGTGTTACATTTGCCTACAGTATGCAGTACAGTCACATGCAATATAGGTTTGTAGCCTAGGAGCAATAGGCTATACTATACAGCCTAAGTGTGCACTAGTCTGTACCATCTAGACTTGCTAAGTACACTCTGTGATATTCAGACAATTAAATCACCAAATGCTGCATTTCTCAGGATGGATCCCTGCTGTTAATTGATGCAAAACTGTATTTTTATACCATTTACAGTTTGTAAAACATGCATATAATTTTTTTAATAAAACAAACTATTGAAAAAGATAAAGGCTATTAGACTTAATGATTAAGGGACTTTGGCAACTTTGAGAAAATAGGTTCAGTTGAGTCATTTGAGTATTGAGAGTGGTCAGAGAGGATACTTCAGGAAGACAAAGAATTTATCCCGAGATAGTTGAGGTTTGTTGGAATAAATTTGTAATTGGTCTGTTGTGTGTGTCTGTATATACATATATATTTAATATATACTTATATATACCTTTCTCTAGTTATGGAAAGGCAATAATGGGTTTTATATGGGACTGGAAATTGGCAAGTAGGATGTGACAGAAAAACATACTGTTTAGGAATTTAGAGTGCTACTAGGAGCACTTAAGAGGCGAATAGAGGGTAGCCAGGGTGGAGGAAACCTGGTGAGGATTGAGGGTGAGCTAGGAGGGATGCCATTATAATGGAAATAACTTGGAGGATGTTTTGTACTGCGGGAAAAGTAATCGAATAATAGGAATAATGGCCATTTTAGAGGCACTGATATCGAGGCAATAACTTTTGCCTACTATTTAGCAGATTAATAGAAAATTACAAGATTTCAGCTCAAGGGATGTAATTCTACTTTATTGTAGCCAGTAGAGCAAAAGCTGTTTAAAGCCGATTTTATATGATTAGGTTTTACCAAATGAGAAATAGTAGAAATAGTAGGCTAGCTTGACATAGTGCCCACTTTTTTATTATAGAATTTTGTTTTTCTGCAGAGGAGGTTTTTCCATCAAAGGAGTAACTTAAGACACAAAATCAAGAGTGGGCCTAATTAAAATTCTGCATATTGTATTTGAATAAAACAGTAAGTGTGACTTAAGACTTAAGGAAGGATTCCAACCTGAGGAAGATGGAATCACCCCACAATGGTTATTTCATTGTACTTCCGGATGAGTTCTTGGTAACCCACCATAAAACGTTTCTGGAGGTAGTTAAGACCTACTCCATGGTATCTCATGGTTGAAGTATATCATGTGTTATATCATGTGGTTGAAGCTACACTAAAGTGAAATAAATCAATGTTTGGCCCTAAAGATGCTATGGTCTCTTGATCACAGCTAAATCCCTGATGAGCTACAAATGTCTGAGGTTATCCTTGAACCTGATTTTGTAAGATTACATTGTAACTGAACCTGCCCATGGGGCAATGAGTCTGGTGTTTCTTTTGATGGTAGGTCAAGCCAGATTCGGGACTAGTTGAGAAACTGTCCTTATTATGGCTCATATATGAGAGCATGCCTTCTAAACTGGATTTAAGTTATGTTTCCTGAAAAAGAAAAGCAGAAAATCATTAAGACTAACAAAAATAAAAATGCTAGTATGCTTTTAAATATATGGCATTTTAAGATAAGTCATTTAACAAAAGTAAACAAAATCAAACTCATTAAGTGGCAATGTTCACCTCTTAAGGGTTTAGAACATAGCTTTGTTTTTTCTAGTATCCATAGAACTTATCTTTGATTGGAGTTAGGTTGAAAAAGACAATGAAGTAGTTAATATTTGATTAGTGTTATTCTTTGTTGGTTAACTTGAAGCAGTAAAAAAAGAAACTGGCAAACCAGTTAAATGATTTTGAAACCCTCAATTTTTCTGCTTTTGGACAAGAAGAACTGAGTCATTTGCAGATAGACTTGTCTGTCCTCCAGAAAAGACATAGATTATAATACATTTGGGCTGTACGAATGAAGTTAAATATGACTTAAAAATACTAGTTTTTAAAATGAAAAAGTAATACATACTCATAGAAATTTCAAAAAGGTGTTGAATGAAAAATGAGTCTTGTCCTTGAAACACAATTTCTTGTTTCTGATTTCTTGTGTATTGTATAGAAAAAGAAATATTCTAGACAGGGAATAACAAATGCTGGTGAGGATACGAAGAAAAGGGAACTCTCATACGCTGTTGGTGGGAATGTAAATTAGTACAACCACTACGGAGAACACTTTGGAGGTTCCTCAAAAAACTAAAAATTGAGCAACCCTATCATCCAGCAATCCTATTGCTGGGTATATACCTAAAAGAAAGGACATAAATATATTGAAGAGATATCTGCACTCTAATGTTTGTTGCAGCACAGTACACAATAGCTAAGATTTAGAAGCAACCTAAAGTGTTCATCAACAGATTAATGGATAAAGAAAATGCAGTACTTATACACAATAGAGTACTATTCAGCCACAAAAAAGAATAAGATCCTCTCATTTGCAACAACATGAATGGAACTGGAGATTGTTAATATTATTATTATTATTTGAGACTGAGTTTTGCTCTTGTTGCCCAGGCTGGAGTACAATGGCACGATCTCAGCTCACTGCAGCCTCCACCTCCCAGGTTCAAGCAATTTTCCTGTCTCAGCCTCCCGAGTAGCTGGGATTACCCATGCCTAGATAATTTTGTATTTTTAGTGAAGACGGGGTTTCTCCATGTTGGTCAGGCTGGTCTTGAAATCCTGACCTCAGGTGATTCGCCCACCTCAGCCTCTCAAAGTGCTGGGATTACAGGCATGAGCCACTGCACCTGGTCTGAAGGTCATTACTTAAAGTGAAATAAGCAAGGCACAGAAAGACAAGCATCACATGTTCTCACTTATTTGTGGGATCTAAAAATCAAAACAATTGCACTTATGGACATAGGGAGTAGAAGGATGGTTTCTGGAGGCTGGGAAAGGTAGTGGGGGGCTGGGGTGAGGTAGGGATGGTTAATGGGTACAAAAAATAGAAAGAATGAATAAGACTGAGTATTTAATAGCACAACAGGAGGACTGTAGTGAATAAAACTTTATTTTACATTTTAGTATAACTAAAAGTATAATTGGATTGTAACACAAAAGATAAATGCTTGAGAGGATAGATACCTCATTTTTGATGATGTAATTATTATGCATTGTATGAATGTATCAAAATATCTTATGTACCCCATAAATATATACACCTACTGTATACCCACAAACATGAAAATAAAAATATTTAAAAGGAACTATTCTATTACATAAGCATAAGCATGTGTGTGTGTGTGTGTGTGTGTGTGTGTATTCCTTAAAAATACAAACTGGAATATGAGTTCTTGCTAAACAATATATGTTAGAGATCTTTTCTTATTGTTACATATAAAACCACCTCTAACAACTACATAGGATTTTTTTTTTTTTTTTTTTTTTTTTTGACAGAGTCTTGTTCTGTTGCCTAGGCTAGAGTGCAGCGGCACAATCTCTGCTCACTTTGACCTCGGCTCACTGCGACCTCCACCTCCTGGGTTCAAGCGATTCTCATGCCTCAGCCTCTGAGTAGCTGGGATTACAGGTGCCTGCGACCACAACCAGCTAATTCTTGTATTTTTAGTAGAGACAGTATTTCACCATGTTAGCCAGGCTGATCTCGAACTCCTGACCTCAAGTGATCCACTTGCTTCAGCCTCCCAAAGTGCTGGGATTACAGGTGTGAGCCACCGTGCCCAGCCTGCATAGGATTTTAAGTATGCATACATTCTCATTTATTTGGCCAATATCTTATTTATGTATACAAATTTTTCTAGTCATTTACTTTCTCAAGCAATGCTGCAACAAATTTCTTTTCACATAAGTCTTTGTGCACAAGTACAAATATAGAGCTTGGATATATTTATAAAACTAGCATTGCTGGGTCAAAGGGTATGAGTATTTGTATTTTATAGATAATGGAAAATTGCTCTCTAAGTATGTTTCCAATCTCATCAATGGTGTTTGAGAGTGCTTGTTTCTTCACAACTTTGCCCACCCAGTGTATTATTGTTTTGACCTTTGGTAATTGGAGAGAGAAAATTTTTTTTCATTTATATTTTTCAAAATTTTAAGTAGCCGGGTGCGGTGGCTCAAGCCTGTAATCCCAGCACTTTGGGAGGCCGAGGCGGGTGGATCACGAGGTCGAGAGATCGAGACCATCCTGGTCAACATGGTGAAACCCCGTCTCTACTAAAAATACAAAAAATTATGGGCATGGTGGCACGCTACCATGCCCAGCTAATTTTTTGTATTTTTAGTAGAGACGGGGTTTCACCATGTTGAGCAGGATGGTCTCGATCTCCTGACCTCGTGATCCACCCGCCTCGGCCTCCCAAAGTGCTGGGATTACAGGCTTGAGCCACTGCACCTGGCCTGAGAAATAATACTTCTTAAAAATTATAAATTAGTCATGAAACAGATTTTTCTAAAGTAATATCTGACATTGGCTCTCTTTGGGGCAAAGGATCCCAGATAATTTACTGTTCTAGAAAGAAAATTTAATTCTGTTGCTAGGGTTCTTACAAAATATGTAACCATAAACTATTTTAATAAGAGACAGTTTCATAGATAGGTTTCATTTTTCAAAAAAAGGGGAAGGAACACCATTCTGTGGCTTGATGTGGCTTTGTCAGTTATTGCCTCTCCACTTCCCGGGACTTCCCACTGCCTCTTGAGCACAAATCAAACTTGAGCGAAAACAACTCTTTTTCCATGGGATCAGTTATAAAAAGAATGGCTTTGCAATGAGCAGCTTAGTCTCCTGGTCTCATCTGTGAAAGGCCTGTGAAAATTTCCGGAAAGAGCACTGGCTGGCTTGTTCATCTCTCTGGTCAATTGCTGGGTTTCTGCCGGATCGAATGAGCAGATTGGTTAGTGAAGGTAAGAAAAAGAAGGCAAAGGGCCCTACAACTCTGCTATTATTTCTTGTCATTTGTCTTCCACACTTTCTTAGCCCTTTATCACCAGAGTGCAGATTCATTCTTACGACATCTAAAATGCTTTTCTAGCTTACTGTATCAGTGGCAAGTGGGAAGCTTACTGTATCAGTGGCAAGCAATCATTCATGGAGTCGAAAAAAAAAAAAAAAATCAAGCCCAATACTTTCTTTTCTTACCTCCTTATGTCCACATTTTAACATTTCTAAAATATGTATATTTTTTACCTACAATTTTTAACTGGCCTGTTCAAATACTTATCATATGATTTTTGCAGTCCTCTTTCACTAATTGCTACACTGGTTTAGCTTCCGCATTTTTAAAAGAAGGCCTAAAAACCTACATAGGATTTTGCCGGGACAACACAGCTCTTGAATTCAATTACAATGACGCAGTTTTAGAGACAAACACAACCACAGTCATTTCCAATTGGGTTTGACTCTCAATTATTCAGTTCAGCAAGCTCGTGATAGCGTTTTTCTGTGTGTCAGGATGTATTCAAAATGAATGCGATCTATAGTGAGGATGCTTTTTGACTTTCATCTGGGTGATTTGGGGAAAGCCTCCCTTTTGGTATTAAAGATAGCACATGTACGGGTGGACTTTTGTTTGAATTATCTTTAGACTCACTCAAATATTCCTTGTCTTGTGCATATGAATCTGTGCTTAAATATAGACCTGGTTGGGACAGAATACTTATGTTGATATTTTTATAACTTTTCTTCCATAGGTCAGTGTGAAAAGATTGTTTTTGAGCTTGAGAAGCTTCTGGAGGATTGAAGAGTGTTTGAAGTCTGTGTCAAACATCCGTATCCTAAGGGGAATTTTGGAGATATTGAAAGGTAATACACTCATTCTGTTATCTCAGAGTAAAGTGATGGTTGAAGTATTTATATCAAGTCACTTAAACATTTCCCATCACATATGTAATGATTATTTCAGATACAGAAGATGTCGTCTAGGCTCTTAATAAATATTATACAATGTAAATATGCCTTCATTAACTAAATATGGTTATTTCCCCTCCCTATTTTTATTTAGAAACGTTTCAAATCTATATAAGAATAGTACAACAAACACGCATATTTCCATCATGTATGTTAATCAGTGGTATTATTCTGCCGCACATACTTTCTCTCTTGCTTTGTCTTTCTCTGCCTGTCTTTTTCCATATACATATATATGTATATATATATATATACACACACACACACACACACACACGCACACATACACATATGCACAGTTTTATGCACAGTTTCTTTCCCTGAATGGGTTGAAAGTATGTTGCTAACTTTAGGACACACGTCACCCCTAAATTCTTGAGCATGTATCTCCTAAAAATAAGGGCAGTCTTCTGTAACACAATTACACCACCACAGAAACATAACATTGACACAATACTATTATCTAATATGAGACACACATGCAAATTGTCCCAATTATCCACACGTCCGTTAGAGCTTTTTAATTTTTTAAAATCCAGAATCCAATCAAGAATCTTGCATTGAATTTGTAGTTGTCATGCCTACAATTAAGTAAATGGTAATGATAACTGGCAAAATTAACATAATTTACAATTATAACACCAAGGAAATTTAATATCAATATAATACTATTGTGATAGATTTCTTATTTTTTCAGTCCTCTCATTTTGCATCAAAATACATTGAAAGTAATTAAAAAATATGCATAAGTTTCAATTTTTCAATTTGTGATATATCAAGGAGTATGAAGAAAAATCCAAACTATGACAAAAATATATTTACTAATATTTCTGCATGGAAGTTCACATCTTCTGAAGTAAGAAAATTCACACATCAGATAGTCTTTGGAAGTAGCCATTAACTTTGGTCATAAAGTCTAAGCAAAACCAACACAAAATTATTTATTTACTTGGTAATATAATATGAAGAAAAGAGGATTTTAATTTATGATTGTGTTATCTTAGCCATCAACTTCCACTTTCAGAAATTAATTTGTTAAGTAAGAATCACTTCATATTTGATAGAAGGATAATCCCAAATTATATGATTTGTAACAGAAATTGAAATATTATTGAGCAATATTTTAGAGCATTCATCAATCAATTCAATACAAGTTGAAATAATAGGGAGATAATCTAAGGTATGTGATTAAGTGATTATTTCCAGCTCTAAAGAACAGGTATTTTTAAAGATAAGAGTAAGGAAACTGCAGATGCTGTTTTATACAGGGAGGCCTTTCATTTTACATAAAGTTCTTGCATGATTCACTGAAAAAAAAATTGAACATGTAATACAAATTTGGTTACATTATCATAATTAAATCATGAACAAAACACTATTCAAGTTTTTCAGTGATCATTTTTCAGCAATTTATCTGCAAGTCCCCCAAATCAATAAGGTCTTAAAAAGTTTAGATTGGAATTATGGGATTTATAATTTATATTATAGGGTAATATAATATAGAGGTGAAGAAACAAAATACAGGTTTTTGAGCTTTGAAGGTATTAAAAAATAACAAGTGACCTACATATAATCTTAACAAGATAGTTCACTTTCTAATTTGTGGACAAACATAAATTGGCTCATTTAACTGGAAAATTAAAAAAATAATAATGTGCTAACAAATTTCAATGAAAACAATCTCAAGCATTGCTGGTGAGAGAATAAATTGATCCAAGCTACTTGAAAGGAAATTTGGCAATAGCTTTGATCTGGTAATTCCGCTGCTCCAAATCTTGCCTGTGGTAATACTCACAGAGGCAGCAATAATTACACATAGTGGAAAAGCAAGACAAACCTCAGTGCCCGTCAAGAGAAATGATTTACTAAACTAAGATGTGTCTTTAGATGTACTGTTTCAAAACTTTTAAAAGCTATATCTATAGAATCAGATATGTTGACAGGTAGAAATCAAACTGCACCCCCGCTAGCTGGTTTCAAGATCTTCCATCAAACAGCAGATTAACGGAAGTTTTCTTGTCTATAATTCCAAGATGTTATAGCCCATGATGGTGGAAAGCAGTCCAATCCCATTGCCATCATTTGTGTGTGTGGCCACCAGAAATTTTTGCGTCCATCTCAATCCAGCCTCTTTGGGTGTCTTAGTTCGCACACCTCCAAAACGTTCTTCAACAGGCAGGATCTGTTTTGCCTCATCATCCAAAATTCCCACACTCTCCACCAAGCCTCAATCTTGTTTTCCTTTTGCTCGTGTCAATTTTTCCTTCTTTCCAAAGACTATTCCAGTGATTTATCTTTTCTGTTTTATTAAAGTTTCACGCAATCCTGATGAACACCTTGAGGTAGGGGAGAGAAGAACCTAGAATCTTTTTCTAATTCAGATGCAAGGATTCTGAATAGATGGCCAAGGGTTCTGAAATGTTAACGTATGAGATGAGACTTGAAGGTTATGGGTGGTAAACCGGAGGATGGATAGGGAACCAGAACTGTCAGGACAGAAGACAAAAAAATGCACAAATCCCTGGGCTAGGCATGGGCTCAGGTGAAGGGATCAGCATGGCTGGGGTCCTGGGTCCTGTGGGGAACAGGCAGAGATGAGATTAGGAAGACAGACAAGGAGCACAAATCACAGGCCTACACTGTATGGACTTTATCCCTGAGGTGATCAGAAGTGGTTTGTATTTAAACAAAGGATCTGTATTATTATTATTATTAATTTTTGAGATGGAGTCCTGTTCCGTTGCCCAGGCTGGAGTGCAGTGTTGTGATCATGGCTCACTGAACCTCTGCCTCCTGGGTTCAAGCAATTCTCCTGTCTCAGCCTCCCGAGTAGCTGGGATTACAGGTTCATGCCACCACACCCGGCTAACTTTTGTATTTTTAGTAGAGACGAGGTTTCACCATATTGGTCAGGCTGGTCTCAAACTTCTAACCTCAGGTGATCCACCCACCTCCGTGTCCCGAAGTGCTGGGATTACAGGCATGAGCTACCATGTTCAGCCTGTAATATTAAATAACCCTGTAGAAGATGGTTGTAATATTAAAGATGAGGTGATGCCAGGCTATAGCAGAGGCATGGTTTAGGAAAATGTTCATATGGTTAGAATAAAAAACCAGAGAAGGCGGGGCACAGTGGCTCACACCTATAATCCCAGAACTTTGGGAGGCCGAGGGGAGCGGATCACGAGTTCAGGAAATCGAGACCAGCCTGGCCAACATGATGAAACCCTGTCTCTACTAAAAATACAAAAATTAGCTGGGTGTGGTGGTGCATGCCTGTAGTCCCAGCTACTGGGGAGGCTGAGGCAGGAGAATTGCTTAAAGTAGGGAGGCCAAGGTTGCAGTAAGCTGAGATTGTGCCACTGCACTCCAGCCTGGCGACAGAGTGAGACTCCATCTCAAAACACAAACACACACACACACACACACACACACATACACACACAAAACAAAAAAAAACCCAGAGGATAAATCAATTGTATTCCTCAAAGATATATGAGCATTGATACATAATTGGGACAAATTGGGGTGAGTGCTGGCTTTCCCCTGGAGCCTTTCTTTCTGCTCTTCATTGCACCTTCCTTATTTTATTTGGCAAGTGCTGTTGTTACTACACGGAATCAGGGCTGATGCCCTTTTCCTGGAAGGACTAATTGCTTGTTATTATGACTGCGTGATATTAACTGCTCACTGTACAATATTGTGATATGTTCTAAGAACAGAACACACATTTTGGAGTTTCTAAACTTGGGCTTGAATCTTGCTTTTAAGTACTTAGTAGCTGTGTGACCTTGGAAGGGTATTTATCATATCTAAAACTCAGTTTTCTTATGTGGAAAATGTAGATTATGATAAAGAACAAAAAAATTAAAAGATTTTAAAAAGATATTATCATATCTAGATGATGATATTACTTAATGTGCGGTGTTGTTGGGAGGTTAGAGGCTATGTCTGGAAAGCACGTGGCATACAGTTGTCATTATTATGATGCCTATTCCATCTATTGCATCTGCTTTTTGACTTAGGTCAAGGGTAGGCAAACTACAGCCCAGGACCATATTGGCCCCCTGCCTGTTTTTGTAAACTTTAGTAGGAGAACAGACACAGTCATTTGTTTACATATTGTCTATGATTACTTTCCTGCTACGCTAGCAGGGTTGCAACAGAGTTTCTATGACTTGCAAAGTCTCAAATATTAACTCTCTGGCCCTGTGTACAAAAAGTTTGCTGATCCCTAACTTAGGTTTTTAAAATGTTTCCCCTTATAAAGTTCTTCTCTTTTTAGGTTTTCTCTTTGACTCCATGCTTGTGTTGTTTAGATGTAAAGTAAAAGAATGTCCTTTGATCAGCATATTCAAAGGATACAAAATTACAGTTATATAGAAGGGATAAGTTCAAAAGATCTCTTGTACAGCATGGTGACCATAGTTGATGACATATCATATTCTTTTTTTTTTTTTTTTTTTTTGAGACGGAGTTTCGCTCTTGTTGCCCAGGCTGGAGTGCAATGGCGCGATCTCGGCTCACCGCAACCTCCACCTCCTGGGCTCAGGCAATTCTCCTGCCTCAGCCTCCTAAGTAGCTGGGATTACAGGCACGCGCCACCATGCCCAGCTGTTTTTTGTATTTTTAGTAGAGACGGGGTTTCACCATGTTGATCAGGATAGTCTCGATCTCTTGACCTTGTGATCCACCCGCCTCGGCCTCCCAAAGTGCTGGGATTACAGGCTTGAGCCACCGCGCCCGGCCCATATCATATTCTTGAGAAATGATGAGAAACTGAATATATAAGTATTCTCACCACAAAAATAACTGTGAAGTAATATATATGTTAATTAGATTTTGCCATTTCACAATATATACACTTCAAAATATCATATTACAAATGAGAAATT